TTTTTTTTTATTTTACTTCCACCGCTCCAAGCTTGCTCCTCTCATGGACTACAATCTCAATACAAACTAGTAGTCCATCACTGGAGCCATTTTTTTAATCCCGATTTTAACAGGTTAATCAAACTTGATAATCAGCTAACCGATTTTGAAAATAATCGTTCGCTGCAGCTCGAATCCAGTGCATGAGTTTTTTTTTTTACTTGCAGCTCAGTATCTTTACTTACCTGGGCTCTGCCTACCTCTAAAGGAGTAAGTAACAGAGTTTTACTAATTCTGTAGCTGCTAATACAGGCAAAGAACTTAAGAAGTAACATTGTGAAGAAAGCTCTGCAATCATTTTCTGAGACTATGAAAAATATTCCATAAATCCATTCCAACTTTTGTAGGTCACTATCTGACATTTGTCTCTTCTCCCTCGAGGAAGCTATGTACAGGAGGTTTTAGCATTCCTGCAATACAAAGGCATTTTGTGTTGCAACACATATGCCCCTGCACAGTACATACACTATGGGGCACATTCTCCTACAATGAGCAATCCTATTAGAAAACAACCTCCTCTCACTGAAGGAATGCCACGGAAAACTGCAAGTCTGCAGAAGATATCCAACTTGGAAGTACAGTCTAAAGGCCATCACTAAAACTTTGTGGGGTGATTTAGGAATTTTACCTACAATACGGGTTGGACATAGAGTGATTTGAGTCCTGCAATGTCAAAGGGCCACCACAATTGCTATATTGCAGTGTTAGGACACACTGCAGTGGCTAGGTGGTTCTTTACTAATTTAGTTTCTATTTGATTATTGCAGTTAAACCGATTTTTTTTTTTTCTCAATGTTTTAATCTTTTCCCATCTAAAGACTGAAATCTGTTCTACAAAAGAACATTCTCCCATGTGCAGGGTCACTCTTGGCCTCAGTTGGCTTTGTTGGCTGGATTTGGTCTTGATCTGGTCGGGGAACGTGAAAAGCCAATTATCTGTACTAATATTCAGACACATGACTTGTAACCTAATACTGACCCACAACATCACGCAAAGGGAGCGGCCAATAGGCCATGCCTGATTAACTACAGGGCCTAGGCAATGAAAGCTGGCACTGACATGCCCACCCCTTTTTGGTTTCCAACCATTCTGTCCTATTCAACATCCAGATAAAAGCAGTTATGTGCAGCTACCCATTAGAGTCAATTCGATTTTCAGATTTTATTAGTGTAATTAGAAC